GGGGCTGGACCACGTGGCCGGAACTCCACCCTTGCCTCCTACGAGCCACGGGGTCTGAGGCAGCCACTGAGCCTCCCCGTGCCTCAGTTTGCCCATCTGTGAGTGCTGACAATAATCACATCCTCATAATCAAGAATATTGTGAGGATGAAAGAGCTAATACCTATGACGTGCCTGATGACGTGATGATGATGGTGATGATGATGGTTGTGGTGATGGTGATATTGGTGATGGTGATGATGGTGATGGTGACAATCCTGTTCTTTCCATATTTATCACGACCGTAAAGCGTGGACCGCCGGCTGTTTCGGCGGAAGCTGGGTGGAGGTGCCCTGGGCCAGCCCCGCCTGATTTCTGGGTCTGCCTGGGAATGCGGACTGCACCTGGGCTGGCCGACGTGGTCACCTGTGCCCGTGGCTCAGGGGGAACCCTGCTGGCCATCCCGGGGCTGTCTCTGTGAACCTGGCCGTGGGAGCTCTTGGCCTCCTTGTTGCAGAGCCGCTGGGCCAGCTGGCCACAGGTGCACAGGGGAGTGCAGGGGCTCTGGACCCGCACAGAGCTGGTCTGAACCCTCCCTGGACTGTGTTCAGGTCACTGCACTGCACTGCACCTCCGTTACGTTGTTTTTGGAAAGGGGTGAGGACGGCCCCTCCTCGCACAACCGCTGAAATAACCAGCTGACGCAGCTGGGTCCCACGCCCAGGTGTGTGACACTTGGCAGGGGGCCGTGGGCGGTGTGCTTCTCCCAGAAGTGGTCTCCCCCTGCACCCCCCCACCCCCCAGCTGGACGTGCGGCCCACGCCTCGGCCAAGCCGCCGCCAGCCAGTGACCGCAGCGGTGTGGCGTGTGGGGAGGAAATGGACAGAGAGTCATGTGACGGGCAGTGACCTGTTAACATCGATGGTGTCTGTGAGCAGCCCTGGGGGCGGGCCAGAGGAAGAGGGAGGGGGCGCGGGGAGATTCACCCTCTGCGGCAGGAAGCCCAGGCGGTCCGAGCGGACGGGCCCTCCTGCAGCTCACCTCGTGCAGTGAGGGGGCAAACGAGTGAACCCACAGAGGCTCCTCCCGGCCGGCGGGCGGCGGTGGCTGTGGGGACGTGTCTCGGGTGGAGGAGCCGTGGCCGGGCGGATTATGCTTCAGCCAGTGAGACGGAAGTCACCTCGGCTGTTTCAGCCGAGGGAGTCGAGCAGAGGGGCGCAGTTACTGGGGGTGGGGGTGGGTGGGGGACCTGAGCGACCGAGCCGGGCGCGGCCAAGGGCCGTCGGGAACGGTACAGCGTTCCAGAAATCAACAAGCAGGACGTGGCTGCCCCCTCTTGGGTGGGGGCACAGAGGAGGGAGATGAGCGTGGGGACCCAGAAGCCGGAACTGCTGCCGACGGGGAGCTGTGTCCGTGGTGGGGGTCCCGGAAGAGAGACAGGGCCTCTGCCCTGGTTTCCCCGCTCTCCTCGCCCTCGGGCTTCCACCCGAGCCCCGCTGTCCAGCAGCGTGCAGGGAGCGCGGGGAACGGGGTCCTCCGTGATGCAGCCGGTGGGGCGGGCCGGAGTGCCAGTCTGGGACGCCCGCCCTGAGCTGAGGAACCCTGGCGAGGAGGGTCTGCTCTGCGCCCCAGCAAGTGCGCAGGGGGAGGAGAGAGACACCAGCATGGCGCGGAGTGACGCCGTGGAGACGGATGGGACAACTCGGTGGCAGAGAGCGTGGACACCCCGCCCCCCAAGACCATTCCTCCGCCCCAGAGACAGCCCCCACCGCATCGCCCGGCACGGATCTGAGAGCTGCTCAGGGGCTCCTCCTGGCTCCCAGCCACCGTGACCGTGACCTCAGGAGGCGGACCCAGGTGGTGGTGATTCATCAGCTATTCGTGAGGGTCACACTCAGACAGGATCAGCCAGGAATTTCTCTTGCTGGTGGCTTTCAAAGAGCTGGCCGCCCAGCCCGGTGGAAAGGAGCCTTCCACGCCCGGCTGTGTACCCCTGCGTGTCCCCTGTGGGCTAGGAAACGGGACTCGGCTGCGATGTCACCGAAGAGGCTGCTGACTCCGGGGGCTGCAGCAGGTGCACGGTGACCCACCCACCCACCCTGGGGCTCGGGGCTGCAGGTGCCGCGGGCCCAGACCCAGACACCTGCCAGGGAGTGTGTGTGTGTGAGCCAGGCACAGCGAGGGTGTCCGTCTGGGCACTGCGGGTCCCAGGGTCCCCGCCAGCACGCCCAGCGCCCTGTGAGGGGTTTCCATCCGGGAGGTGGTCCGTCCTCCCCCGACCCCAAGCTCTCTTTGGGGCTCCCTGGCTGCCATTCTTCAGCCGCAGGCATCTGTCTGGTGCGCTTGGTGCTCTCGGAGAAGCCCACCCCGATTTTCCCCCTGGCTCGTGGGGAGGGCGGCAGGGAGGAGAAGCCCCGCCCGGCCGAGCCTCTCTGGACCCCTCATTTCCCGCCCCAGGACCCACCCCGTTCAGCCTGGGGGTGAAGAGCCCTTAGGAAGCCGGCGGACTGCACAGTCTCATTTCATCTTCACGACCCTGGCCGCCGGGTCTGCCTGCCGGCGGGGGCGGGTGGTGGGGGGAGGATGGAGCCACTTTGTGAGGTTTGGGGACTAGAGGGGGGGTGTGAGCTTCCCAGGCCGTGGGTCCCGTTCTCAGGATGCAGCCTCACGGCTTCATAAGGCGCGTCTCGGCTCGGATGTCGTCTTTTACTGCAATCTGGTCTGAGGACGAAACGAGGCCCCGGCAGCGGAGATTTACGGCTTCCCATAGAAGCTCTCAGACAAAATCTGTATTGCTCTCCGCGTGAGTTATGGAGGGACGGGCCGCGAGCCTCGCCGTGGGGCTGCGGCCACACTAAAGGAGAGAGGAGTCACCGCTTTAAATTCCTTGTAAATCAATTCTCGAGCGGCATAAAATATCAACGCCAAGGATTAAAAAAAAAAACAACAATCCGTAATGAAAACAGCACATGACGCTTTGCATTTATTTTAATTCCCTCTTCCACATCTGTGAATGTGTCAGAATTTAAACCTGGCCTCGGGCTTCCTGTAGACTTTATGAGTAGGTGAACTTGAACCTGTCACTCCCCGGCCTGGCCGGCTGCGGGCCCGCCCGGCTCCGCCGGAGGGTGCGTGCCCGGGAGCTGTTCCCCCGCCGCCATTCAGTTCTCGGGCCTGCCCACCTGGGTCCGGACTGCCTGGTGTGGAGAAGGGGAACAGCCCCGACGGAAGAACTGGTTCAAGGTCGCTCTGGAACAGGGTGTCCGCGTGGCTGCACTTCGTCACACTGCTCCTTGGGGGCAGCAGGGCCGCTAAACCCTTTCTGGGATGAGGCTAATAACCCTCAAAGTCATTGCCTCCTCTGCCGCTGGGGAGTCAGCCCCGCCCCATCCACGGGATCCGTCTGGAAAGAACCAGGTCCCTGTCAGGAGAGCGAGTGTGTCGTGTGTTGTGTGTATGTTTGTGTGCAGGGGGCACACGCTATGCACACGTGTGTCTTACACAGATTGGGGATCGTCGGGGGTCTGTGTCTGCCTTGCACTCGGCGCGTGGCGAGGGTGCCCCCCCCCACGGCCTGTTTGTCGAAGTGAGGGCGCGGGCGGCCGCGTGGTCTCCGTCACCCGGGACAGTGTTTGTCACTTCCGTCATCGTCTCCCTCGCGATGGGGCCGCGGCTCCGTGCCAGCGCGGGGCGGTCACACATCACACTCGGGACGTGCATCTTGGCTGTCCATCTCCTTCCCGGTCGGTCTCCTGATTATTTCCTTAGCACGGAACCCCACACAGAGCCCCCCGGGCATTTTTCGGGGTCTCAACGCTCCGTTTCGCGATGGCTGGGTGGTGCCGGTGGTCCCTCCTCGGGCGTCTCCTGCTCCTCGCGGGGCAGAACCCGCCCCTGTCCGGCCCTGGGACACCCTGTGGCCACGGTGCCGCACACAGGAGACGTGAGCAGTCACTGTGGCTCGTTGGCTCATTGGAGGGGTGGGGAACCATCACCCTCCTCCTCCACTGGGTAACCCAGCCCTCGGGGCTGCCTTCCCCGGGCCCGCCTTCTGGAGAACCTGCTTTCTTTCATTTGTTTTCCTTCCGATTCATGGGACTGTCGTTGCCACCTGCCTGTAAGGGGCGCCGTCGGGGTGTGGGTGCAGATGCACAGTGCAGTGGCCAGCACGGCCAAGCTAGGGGACACGGTCATCGCCTCTGTTCGTGGGGGACCTGCTGCAGTGCGGTGCTTGGGCTCCCTGCTCCTTGTCTCTCCCGCGGAGGTGTGGGTCTGCGGGCACCTGCGCCCGGGCACCCGAGCTGCGGGAGGGGAGGGCCCTCTGTTTCCGGCTTCAGGGCGGTGGCTTCAGGGCGGACACGTTCTGGAATCACCGCCGCGTTCACCCGCCCCTCCGCGCTTGCGTCTCTGTCCCTAGTCCTCCCTTCCTCCGGGTGCGGCCAGCTGCTCGGCCGTTGGTCTGCCGTTCGGAGCCGCTGCCGCGAATGGGCTCGTGGATGCGGCCTTGTGCGTTCTGGCGCGTCTTTCGGACGCAGAAATTTCTAGAAGCGGGGACGTGAGCCGTGGCCTCCCCGATTGCAGGGGCGGTTGTGGAGAGGCCCCAGTGTCTGAGTAGATGGGACACAGAGGAGGGACAGGAAGAGGCACAGGCCAGTGGCGGCGTCGCGGCGCGTCGCGTGCCCTGGGGCGGCGCCAGTGGTCCGGGGGCGGGGCGGGCGCGCCAGCGGCCCTGCGCGCTCACAGCAGCGCCCCCCGCACCACCCCAGGGCCAGATCCTCGGCTCGGGGCCGTGTGAGAACTCGAGGCGGGGGCGTGTCCCCTCCAGGGGGACAGCGGTCCAGCCACAGGACCTCTGGGTCGGTGGTGAGCGGGGCTCCTCCCCGCTGCCCTGTCTGTCCTCCGAGGACGCGCGCTGCGCCGAGACCCGGTTTGGGGCGGGGCGGCGGGGGCGTGGCCTCGCGCGCGCCCCGCCCCTCCCAGCGCGCGGCTTTCATTCTGGCTTCGCTGTCCCTTGTCCTGCAGTGGCGGAGAGCCGCGGAGTCGCCGACAGCCTGCAGAGGTTCTCCTCGCTGCCCGCCTACCTCCCCGCCAGCCTCCACGTCGCAGACGCGGACGAGTCCTTCTTCCTCAAAGAAGCCGACCAGGACGTCACCCGGAACGCCAGCCTGCAGGCGCGCGTGGAGCCCTTCTTCGTGTACCGGGCCCGGGCGGCGCCGGCGGTCAACGCCAGCTACGGCCCGTTCTCGGCCGAGAAGGCCGTCCCCGAGGAGCTGCTGCTGACCTCCGAGGGCTTCGCCGGCACGGACGCGTTCCCCTTCAACTGGAAGCTGAAGTCCCACGTGCTGGACAGCGCCATCTACTCCAACAGGCCCAAGGTGCAGACGCTGTTCTACGTGGCCGGCATGGCCTGGGACGCCGGCGACCCCGCGGGGAATCTACCCTGTGTCAAGATGTTCGCCTACCCGGAGGCGCGGGAGGTGGCGGCCAGCTGCCGCCTGCGGGGCGCCCCGGGGCTGTGCGTGGCGGAGCTGGAGCTGCTGCCCGAGTGGTTCAGCTCGGGGCTGGACCTGGAGCCCGAGGAGGAGATCCCCGCGCTGCTGGGGGGCACGGCCATGGAGCTGTTCTTCAGCCTCTTCCCGGCCGACCCCGCCGGCCGGTGTCCCCTGGAGGACGACGGCAAGTGGGCCAACAACATCCACGCGGGCCCGGAGGGGCCGCCGCCGGCGTCGCCGGCCCGGGAGCGCATCGGCAGCGTGGTGGTCTACCCGACCCAGGACGACCTGCGGTGGTCCCCGCTGAGCCTGGACAAGAACGTCGTGGTCTCCGTGCCCCTGAACCTCGTCCGCGAGGGGGACGTGGCCACCTTCCTGGTGTCTCTGACCGGCGGCTCCGTGGCGGAGCACTTCACGCTCAGGTGAGAGGCTCCGCGGGCTGGACAGGGGCGGGCAGACCGCCTTCAGCCGTCCGTGCACGGTCGGCCGCCCGGTGGGTGCTGGTCGTGCGCGAGTCCAGGGTCACAGGGTCACTTCCGGACATGGACTAGAGACCGCGTGAGACGGCCGGCCGGACACGGCCGAGCAGCGGGTCCGGGGGTGGGCGCCTGCGCTTTCCGAGTGCGCAGAGGAGCTCCTCCTTGTGCACACGGAGTTCCGATCTGCGGTCATCGATGGGTTTGCCCAGTGGGAGGCGGCAGTGAACCGCTGCGGGTCGGGAAGGGCTAGAGAAACCGGGGCGGGGGGGGGGGCGGCCCCTCCTCCCGTTCTGCTTCCTGACATGTCTCTGGTGGGGGCCGCACTTCCTCCTGTGGACGCACGTCCCCTCGGGGTGGCCTTGCCAGGGTCTCTGCCCCCACGGGCGGCCCTGTGCCGGGAGTTCGCTGCCACCCCTCCTCCCGGGCCCTCCACCCTCGGGGCGGGGGACGCTTCTTGCTGTCGCTAAGGTCTGGTAGCATCGCCATCCCTTTCCGGGGACCTCGCTTTTGTGCCCTCCGTCAGGGGTCCCCAACATTTCGGCACCAGGGACCGGTTTTGTGGAAGACAGTTTTGCCACAGACGGGGGTGGGGCGATGGTTTCGGGGCGATCGGAGCGCGGCACATTCGAGCCCCCTCCTGCCGGACAACCCCGGTTCCTGATGGGCGTGGTGCCGGTGCGTGGCCCAGAGACTGGGGACCCCTGTCCTGCGTGACCAGTTCTCTGCATCAAGTTCCCTCTGCTGGGGCATAGAGAGTGGCTTCTGTGTCCCCAGCTGGCCCCTGCCGGCACGCGCTACAGACCTCACCCCCGCCCTGGACGAGATAACTTTGCGGCGCCCGTGGGCGCTGAATGGAGGGGGCCGGGCGGTGAGAGACGAGGGCTGGGAACCTGGGGTCCGGGTGCGGCGTCGGCGGCAGTTTGATGTGACAGTCGAGGCCTCGGGAAGGGTGGTTTTTCTCAGTAAAAGTCGTGCAAGGAGAAGAGGGCTCGTGAGGAGTCTCGGAGGACCTCGGCATTTAACAGTCGGTAAACGGCAAAGGTGAGCCTTCGGAGGGGCCGTGAGACGGGAGAGGACCCGGGAGCAGGTCGTCACGCCGGCCGGGAGGAGAGGCGGGGGGCGAGGGAGAGGCGGAGAGTCGAACGCTGCTGAGGGGCCGGGCAAGGGGACGAAAATCAACCCCGCGCGCTTTATGTAGGGATGCCACGCGAGACTTTCATAAGATGCTTAGTGGGTGTTTGGGGATAAAGGCCATGTTGAAGGGGTTTGGGGGCGAGTGATCTGCAAGGTATGCTCGTTAGGGAACTGAGTTCAGCCGCGTGCATCAGAAACACCAAGAACGCTGGCCTCCCCGACATGGGGCAGATTCAGGGAAATGTAAGAATGTGCACAGGTGGGAACTGGGCTGGCGGATCGAGGATGTCACAGCATCAGGGTTGTGCGATTCCATTGGCTTTTCCCTCGTGGACACAAGGGGGCTGCTGAGTGGCGGTCATCACGTCTGCATCTCACTCAGAAGGAAGGAAAGAGAGAGGCAGAAAGTCGTGTGCACCCGCGTCTGCCCCTCTGTAAGGAGCCTTCCCAGAGCTCCAGCCAGCGTCTTCTGACGCATGTTCAGTGGTTGCAGCTTTGTCGTGGTCGAGTCCCTCCAGAGCGAGCGAGCAGGGAGTCACAGGCGTCCCACGGGGCACGGTGCCAGTCTCCCTGCTCCAAATCAGGGCGTCCTCGGTGAGGAGGAGATGGAGGGTGCACCTCGTCTGCCACCTGCGATTTGAAGGCCACAGGGAGGACAGCGCCTCTTGCTGTCGCTCCCAGCGTTTGCTGGGAGTAGGACGGGTGGATGGAGAGTAACCTGGGGTGCGGGGTACCAGCAGGACTCCTTCCCCCAGAGCCGAGGGGGCCTGTGCGTGTTCAAACGCGGAAGCAAGGTCAAAGTCCTGGTGGCAGCATGCGCCAGGTTTCCTGGGCCCAACAGCGCCCCTGTGTGCCCCTGGTGGTTTTCCAAGACTCACTCTCAGCGCCCGCATGGGAGTGGCGGAGGATTTCACTGGGTGGTCCTGTGCCCAGTGGGTCTGCCCCCTGGGCTCCGTCCACGGGGGGCTGGTTCACTCTGCTCTTCCGATGTTGGTAGGTGTCTGCGGTGACTCAGGCAGAGAAACAGTTTGAGGGAGACTTAGAGGGTCCGTGCTGATCAGGGACGCAGCCACGGTCCGAGGTCTCTTCCTCCTGGTGGGCGGGGCGCTGTTCGGTGCCGGTTTCGTCGGGGTCCAATAGCGGTGCCGGGTGCCATCCGGCGCGCCGCCGGCCCCGTTGGCCGTGCAAACAGAGACTGTCCGCTGTGGTCAGACCGACCCTCACTCTGTGTCACGGGGGCGCATGTCCAGAAAGGAAGACGCCTCGTGTCGTGATGTGTCATAACCTGTAATTTTAAGGTCAGATAGAGTTTTTAATCGTGACTCTTCCTTTCGGGGCGGTCTAAATCCACAAACCTTTTTGCAAGGAATTCAACGCCCCCACACCCCCCCGTTGTGGGGGTACGTGGTTCCGACTCCTGGTTCCGAGGTTCCGCCGGCTCATCACAGGGACCGGAGCGCGTGCCGGTGTCTTTGGTCCCGAGCCCCTGCCCGCGGGGACTGCTGGGCTGGCCGCCTGTCGGAGCTCCTGGACCCTCTCTGGCGTGGAGTGAGATCTGAAAGCCAGGCTGGGAAACCTGCCACTTCCCACCCGGGCCCAGGCAGTGACTGCTCCCCAGCTACGGCAGCGATGTTGCACCTGCCACTCGTGAATCCGCCGGCCCTTCCCCTGTCGGCGCGCCGGCCGTCAGCAGCTCCCCCGGGACGGCCGCCCCCTGGGGGTGGCCGCAGGGGCTCTCTGCTCGTCCGCCCGTGGTGTGGGGCCCCTGCGTCGACCTTCGGAGACGCTCTTCTCTGCAGAGGGCCTGGGTCGCACCGAGGATGCCCGTCGGGCCCGGGCTGGGCTGGCCGCTGTGGGGACTCATTGTCGCCGCGGCATTCGGAATGCCGCCTGGGTCAACGGGGGGAAAGGCAGCCGGAGGAGAGGAGGTGGCTTTGCTGTTGTGCATCTGCCGTGACCCTGGTTGTGACCCAGGGGCGAGGGCACGACCGGGGGGGTGCCGAGCCCGGCTCCCACCTCGTGTCCCCCACGCTGCCCTTCGTTCACCGCACCCGCCGCGCCATCGGGCCTCGGTGAGCGGGGGGCACACACTGCCGCCGTGCACCCGGACGCTGCGCTTGGTGCGTGGGCCGGCGCTCGTCACGGGCCGGCTGGCCGGTGTCCTGCAGACCCTGTGTGGTGGACACCTCCCCCCCACCTGGACACTTCAGAGCGTGGCCGCACTGACATGCGGGGTCTCTGAAAGAGGCACAACAGCAGCGCGGACTCCCGTCCACTGTGACTGGTGGCTTTCTTTCCCAGGGGAGCAGACGAGGTCCCCAACACGTCTGGGGGAGGACACCACGCGAGCCCCCGGGGCCACGGTGGCCACCGATGAGCCCAGAGGTCCCCGCAGAAACCACGCCTGCCGGTGGCTGGATCTCCGACGCCCGCTCCAGCCCCGTGAGGTCGCTGCGCTGTCACTAAGGCCCCGGCCCCTGGCCCTCGCCCCTGGCAGCCCCAGGTGAGCGAGGCCACGGCTCTGCCTCGGGAGGGACTCCAGTCGCTTGCAAAGTCCGTGGTGGGCAAGCCTGTCCTTCCTCACTGTCCCCAACCCCGTCCTCCCCTTCAGGACTCCCGTTCTCCCCACACTGCTTCGGTTCAAGACCCCCGAGCGCACGGGTTCTGGTGTTTGGAACGGTTCGGCTCACCGGGGCCGCCGCTCAGCACCGGGACGGTCCACGAGGCTCTCGCTCGGGACTTGGTTGCAGAGAACGGGGCTGACGTGGAAGGAGAGGAGTCGCCGTGACCTTGACTCCTGACGCCCTCACCTGGGGGCTCCTCCTTCCTGGACCTAAGGCCGCTTTTCCGCTTCCGTCTCCTGGAACTCAGGAGACTGCAGAGCCTCCTGCCGGGTCCTCGTGAGAGTGTGCACGGTGGCGCGGACTCCCCCGCTGGGTCACCAACGCCAGTCTTTTCTTGCTGAGGTTAGGAGGGGGCAGGTTTCGTCGTCGGGCAGTCCCTGGAGTTCCAGACGCTTCTTGCCAGGGTTGAACTTGACCCACGCAGGCAGGCGTGAGGAAGGTCTCCTTGGGGGCGTCTCGGGGGCTTCAGCCGAGTCTCCCTCAGGCACCGTCTGTCACAGATACCCCTGCGCCCCTCACCGCCCAGATTCCCCTTTTCTGCCTCTCGGGCCCCGGAGCCAGGCCCCCCTCTTGGCCACGGCCTGCGTCCGTGAACTTGCACTTGTCGGCGCTTGCCTGCCAGCGAATGGCAATCACGCGCTGTTAGCACAACCGGAGAGAAGAGAGAGGCCATTGCGGCGTGAACGAGATGCCAGCAGGAATGGGTGTCTCCGACGCTGCGTGCGGAGAGAGACTCAATTTCGGGAGGTTCTCGGGGCGGGAAAATGTCGAGAGCCGCATTTCATTTTGCAAGCGGGGGCCGCCGCGCGCGGCCGAAATCCGCAGGATCAGACGGGCGCCTCCATCACGGAGCCGGTTAATAACGCCCCTAATAGGATTTGCTGACCGCCGGCGCCGCCGCCCCAGCGGCAGCGCGCGTGTATTTATTTGCCATCTGTATGCAAATGTTGCCGTTATGGAAATCGCGTCCGAGAGTGGACCGCGCGCGGAGAACACACCACACACTGTGGCGTTTGAGCTGAGACGCAAAAGGAGGGAGAAAGCCAGCGCGGTGGGTGTCTGGGCGCATAAATAAGCCGGCTCAGCCTCGGAATCTAACCCGCGGTCACAGTGGACGGGCTCATTTGCATATTTAAATATGCAGCCGTCACTCACAGACGAGAGGCGGGGCCGAGCTGCCCCGGG